TTTCTAAAGTTTGATCCCTGGCCTTTATAGTCTGGAGTCAGAGTGATGTCATTATTTACCATAATCTTGATATTACAGAATCTAGACAGAGAAATCGAGACTTGCTTCAGTCTAGAGGCAGAGCGTCAACAAGTGGGAAGCGATCGTTTGATGAGAGAGATTTACGAGATTGATACCGAACAAGCTGWACAGTTAGATCCCATGCATCCATGTTTTTGGAGATATCGTGGAAAGATCACCGTTGAACATGCAAAGCAAATGTTTTCAGAAAAGATGGGATCCAACAAGAAGAGCAAGAAATATAAAGTCTTGAATAATTTCTTCAADGAGGTATTTCTGATTCATAACGCGTGAATATTGGACTCACTATTCTAACGCAAATTCCTCTTTGTAGGAGCACAAACTAAGACTTGCTCGATACATTCCTGATATCTACAAGTTACAGAGATTTCTGATTGATAACTGCAGTAGGCGAATCGATCTTAAGAAAGCTGAAGAAACGACAATAAAAGCATTTCAGGAAAGCTTGAATGGTATGCATCATTGGCTTCCTTGTCGAGCAGTTAAATGATCAATTCTTTTCATTTTATGTAGTTCTTTTTGAATAGCGGTTTTCAATATAATTTGTTTCTTGTTTTAATGTGTATTTTTGTTATTTATGAAGATTCMAAACGAAAAGAGTTTAAGGCTTTTCTGAAAAGCTTTCGTTCTGCCTGGTCTGTAGTTTGCAGTGACTTGGAAAAGCAGAGTAAGTGACCTTGMGACATTTTGCTTATGATTTTACTGATGAAAWTAGAATCGTTAGAAGAAAATTATGACATTTTAGTTAACTTTTTCTACGCTTTCCTTAGGAAAATTCAAACTTACAAGCGAGACATGCAGCTTGTCAATAAGTGATGAAACAGCGTTGTCATACCTTTTGCCTTCAGTCGGYAATGGTCACCAGTCTTGTACCACTGCTGTTTTATTCTACCTGGTCAATGCACATAATGAATTCCTGGAAACATTTTACAACATCACAGCTGGTAGTGCGAGGTCTGTCGAAAGAAACACAACATAACACAACGCAACGCAACGCAGCACAATACAACAACACAGCACAGCACAACACAACACAGCACGACAACAACAACACACAACACAACAACAAAACCACACAACAACAACATAACACCAACACCACACAACAACAACACAACACAACATCATAAAACACGACAAATCACAATAACACACCACAAAACACAACATCACTTAACACAACACCAACAACAACATAACACAACGTAGCAAAACTCCAACATAACTCAACAGCAACACAATACCACACGATACAACAACAACACAACGTAACACAACACCGACACAACACCAACAACAACGACAATAACAACTACAACAAAATAAATCAAAAAAGAAAATATTTTTAGCTAATGACTTGTTTTGATTTCAGTAATGTTTCAAAGATTCCCGATTCGGAAATCACGAGTTCTCAGATACTGAGYTATGATTCTCAGCGTGACCTTCTGCCTTTAATCCATGCGCATTGCCAGTACTCGCTTGAGGTTGGTCAAGGTACTAAGGTGGACTATGATTGGTCTGCCATACAGCGTCATTTGATTGACAGGTTGATTCGCGGGAAAAGTTTAATTATTTTTAAGGTTAGTGGCGATCAGCAGCAGCAGTGACAAGATTGATAAATATTGATGATAACTTTTCTCCTCCCAGGAAACACAATTTACCTTCCTAAACCAAGACGAGGCTAAAAAGTTTGGCTTGGTTCGTAATAAGATCCCTCAGGTAAGAAATGCACGTCGGGCGAACTATGTATATTAAAGATCTTGTATCTTTGTTTTATTAACTTTATTACAACACATGAAACCCAAGTATTAGTATTCAAATTAGTATGTTCAAATGTTCTTTTTCCAGGAAAACATGCCCGCGACTACCGTAAAACTGATTACCGCTGACCTTTGCCGCCTCAATGACGTGTGTGACGTCAAACAGACTCTAGAGCTGGCTATTGGTTTCTTGGGATCTAGTGGGGGAGATCAAAGACAGTCAATCAGCGAGTACTTGGACAGCGTTCTTCGTATTCCTCGTGWAAGAGGACTTCGGAACAAAAGAGTAAGCAAAACCACAACAAACTTTATCCTGCCGATAGCTACTTGTTTAAAACYCTAAAAAACGACCCTTGGCCCAACTCACATGATCTTCACGAGCAGGAATTCGACCCCAGAATACAGTTGACGTATGACAGGCTTACATAAAATCAATAAGGAATTGCTCGCGTGCTAAAATTTATAAAATTGGCTTCTACATTGACTAAATAGCAATCATAAATATTGTATAACTATCAGATATTTAGCCTTAGTTGAAGGCAACTCTTAGGACTTCTGCGCCAGAAAAAAACGGTGGCCCTTTGGGGGAAGGGAGTAAGGGTAGGCTCAATCTTCTCCGGTCATCACAACAAAGGAAACCCAATCGAGTTATCAGATCATTTACAGTGTTGTTATCATTTGTACTTTCGTAGGCCGAGGAGCACTGTAAGCTGCGACATATCATCCATCTATGGCAGATWGTGGCGTCACAAAAAGCTAAACTTTTGCGAAATCAGAAAGAGGTGCAGTATATATTACAGCATAAGTGTTGCTGATTAAACGTGGGATATTTTAAATGWATGATCGCTAAATCAATTTTAGGATCCTTTCCGAGATTTGCCAGAATGCTTCAAGGTTCCACTTCCAAATAATCTGATTCTGCAGCTGAATAAAATTCTCAAATCCACTGAYGTTAATCAACTGTGTTGGGACCTGGTTGAAATCATCACGCTTGAATTGAACAATGAGAAGAGTTCATACTCCGATGTAAGGTAAAAGAATAGAGGCCTTAATCCAACAGATAAGCTGGTAAAAACCCTAGAATCTTTCAAATTAATGAAGAAAGCACCAAATTTTCAGGATATACTGGTGATAATGTGTAGATTAATAATTGCGAGAGACCCCAACTGGATTCCCTCTGGAAAGCCTATGATTTTAATGGTCAAAATTTAGTGTAAGCGGTATAAATTGCGGTCTCAGAATTTTACCACAAAACTACAACGAAAAATGTGTTAAAAATATATTTGGGTATGATATGAATAGTCTCCATGTATTTTTTGCTAAGATTTACGTAATGATTTAGAGGGTCAAATACGATAATATTTATTGAACCTTAAATATATTTACAGTTTACAAAAAACGCATTTTTAACAATATCATATAATAAGAAATCTAATTTTTTTTATTTGTATTATTTTTGAAGTTTTGTCATTTTTTTTCAGTTTGCAAGAATATGTGAGTTATTTCTGTGGAGAAGAAAATGAGCTTGCAAACCTGGAAATCCCTGATGAAATTCAGCTGAAACACATCGTGAATGCATGGGAAATAGTCATGGAATTACAATCTTTTAGATACTAGAGCATATAGATCCGTAGAAGATAACACATAGAGCTTCGGGAAAAGTACACTTTGTYGAATCAAAGTGGAGTCAAATTTGAACTTTTCCCGGTAGAAAATACCGAATTAGGTACCTTCTTCAAAGRTGTGTTAGACCAATTTTGATTAATATTCTTTTTGATGAAATATTTAAGTGTTTTCCACACACATTTTTATTCAGTACGATTTCGAGCATTCATAAGTCACGTGACCACTGACGTGTGCACAGTGACAAAAGATAAGAAAGACGAACTGATAGATCTACTTCAAAAAATTAAATTACACTAAAATAAAAACAAACATAGATTACAAACTAAAGACTATGGTAAAAGATATAAACTTTAAAATAAAATGAAAAAAAAAATAATGAAAAAAAAAAACACGATGCACATAACATTAAAGTTCGACGTTTGAAGTCAAATGTCGTATTTTATTATTTTCAGTGTCCATACTGAAATAGGAACTGTGTCGKCACATGTGAAAAACAACGTGTTAACCAGTCAAGAACAAAATCTTCTCTAAAACAATCAAAACTGAAGTGCCTCGTATTTACAACGRTATTAAGTTCTTGGCTGACTAGTTCTGTTCCAACTTTTTTGCTTGGATGATAATTTTTATAAGAAAATATTCAGTTAAAAATTTTCAYTTTTTGTGTATGCCAAATGTTTATGAATGAAATGAATTCATTTTTTTTTGTATTGATTCTATTTTGCGAAGATTAAATTTGAATTTAATTATATAGTTTTTGTATAGACATTGTATAGACGTCACTTGATGTCAATTACTACGCCTGCGTGCGCGTCGAATTTTAATTGGTCYAAAAGTGGACAATGATTTGGTATAATTCATTAGCACCAACCGTTTGCTAATCCATCCCAAACAGAGCATGAAAAATCTGAATAACAATAAAAATATACAGGTAGTTTTAGCATGACGCTATCGTTTAAAATATCGCAATGTCGTCGATTCGTATGACTATCTGTTTGAAGAAACAGAAGAAAACTACTCGAAGAAACTGCCTTGACGCCTATAAACGATTGTAGTCCATATTGTCAGGTAAGGTTTTCAAACTTCCATTGTATTATAATATTGTCTTGGACTTTTCGCTCGCTCAAAGCTCAGAAAGCTCGAAGCATATGTTCTGAATGAGTATGTTTTCCTTCGTACGTTTGTCATAAAATGACCAACTTCTTATATATTGATCATGTTTCCTGGTCAAAGAAAACCAGGCATTCTTGGCCAGAAAAACTTGACACAGTTGGTTATCTGGTCATGTAAATTAGGCGACAAGATTCAAGAAAAACGTTGCAAGTAATTTCTATTGTTTTGAAAACCGAAAACAAGTACGCTCTATCGGTTCTTGGTTTTTCTAAGTAAACAACAACGACAAACGTTTGAAACATCGATATTTTTATATAATTTATCCTTAGTACTATCTTAGTTAGTAAGTATTTGAATACATTTATGAAAATGAATTGTCGATTGAATATTCAGTGTCGATGTAATTTTTCTTTGTCAAGATAGCGTTACCTTTATTTGGTAAGAGATCTAAAATACTTTTCCTGGCCACCATAGTATACATTGAATATACATTAGTATAGAGCTGTCGGCTGTTTTCATCGCCTTTCATCGTTACAATATAGACAGAAAATACTTATGTTCGAACTTTCGCTCGAACCACGTTCCTGCTCGAACCAAAGCAGTTAGAACGCTTTATTGCTCGTTGATTGTCAAAACACAACTTGTTTATAGTTAAATACAACTTTCGTAATCTTGAAATGCAATGTAACGAACTTCTGCTATGAAATTTTCATTGATAATTGCTTGAATTGAAKTTTTTATTTGTTGCTTGACAAAGCGACGTAACCTACCTTTGTTTTCATTTATAGATAATAATATCAACTCAACCATGAATACAAGTCTGCGATGGATTTTTGGTTTTGCCGCATCTCTCTCGATATTATGTCTTTTACTTTATCAACGAATATCATTTCGTTTCTATTTGAGACCTTCTTTATCAAATAAAACAATRCTAGTCAAGAGAAATTATACAGAGAAAGCGGTAGACGTTAAAGTAGACATAAAGAATAATACTGAGCGAGAGTCATTGCCGGTACAAGCTAAAAGCGAAAAGGTAATACTTGTGTATAGCAAATATTATGGACACCAATGGCCTCTTATCGACAAGCTAAAGACGAGCTGTAAGCACAAGTGTCGAGTAACTACAAACAAAAGTGAATTAAATGAAAGCGATGCGTTACTTTTTCACGCTGAAGACATCCCTAGTGTTGATCATTTGAGAAAATTACGCAGGAAATCTAACCAGTTGTGGATTTATTACACATTGGAAAACCCTCATAATACCCCTGACGTATCGCGCTTCAATGGATTTTTCAACCGTACTGCAACATATCGCAAGGAATCGGATTATTTTGTGCCTTATCGTTTCTTGGAAAAACTTAAACCAGACAACAGAACAAAACATCAAGTTACCGCTAACTACACAAAGGGAAAAACTCGATTAATAGCTTGGACGTTGAGCCATTGTAAAAGCGCGGGAAAAAGAGACGCGGTCGTGCAAGAACTATCCAAAYATGTCCCGGTTTCAATCTATGGTGGATGCAGAAGTTTGTTCCCAAAACGAGACAATCCAACCGAAAAGAATTGCGAACGAAGCGATAAGAAAAAGTGCTCTTCGTTATATCAGAAATTTAAGTTTTACTTGTCGTTTGAGAACCATCATTGTACAGACTACCTTACTGAAAAATACTGGGCAACGCCACTCGACAACAATATGGTCCCCATCGTGATTGGTCCTAAGTATTATTCAAATATTGCCATACCTGGGTCCTACGTAAATCTGTTTGACTTTCCGTCAATTAAAGCTTTGGCTGACTACATTAAGTATCTTGACAAGAACGAGACCGCATACAATCAATATTTCCAGTGGAAATCGCAGTATAAATCTATTTTTGTGCCGATACCCTCTGGTCACGTGTGTAAAATTTGTGAGGATCTGCACMRGGATTCTTTATATCCAAAAGTTTACGATAATCTTGGTGGCTTCTGGGGACGAAATACGTGCACAGCGAATTTAGAAAGACTTAAAAAGTATATAAAATTCTAAGTAGAGTAATACATACACGACCTATGATCGTGATTTAATGTCCGCAAATCGCTTGTCTTTCAACTTTTGCTACTAACAATCTCTCTTTCAAATTAAAATCATATGTGTTTTGGTTATCAGTTTGAGAATGTTTACTAAGTCGAATAAGTTCCAAAGTGACGCGTTTTTATTCGTGACTCTAAATCACACCCTTATCTAGGAAATAGTCCTGAAAAGCAATGATACGTTCAAGTCTTACAAAAATTAATACCCCCAAAGTTGGCATTATTTTAGACACCAGGTGTGTTTTGTTTATATCTACATAGTCGGAATAATACAGTAGTTCGTCGCTAACAAAGTTTCTTCACAGTTAGCAAACTCAAATACACATGTAGCGCGCTGTAACCGTGAAACCATTAGTAACCTAATAGCGCGGTCACCTGCAACAATTAGCTGACCTTAGCTGATTGCACCAGTTCAGTCTTGATTAATTTCGAGATCACACACACATCACAAAGCAACGCCTTCGTTAAACGTGTACAGCTACTTCAAAAAACGTTGTCGGGGAGAACGGCGAACGGCGATTGTCGAAGGGAGATTGCACAACCGAAAGGGACTATGGTTACACTGTTTTGATAAGCAAAATTTCACTTATAATTGGATTCAACTTACATAGAAATAGAAAATAAATGGAACCAGTGTTTACCACAGACCATCTTACAGTGCGAATCAGTTGTTATTGACTTTCAACTAGCAAAACCCATGGCTACTTTCGGTCGTGCAACTTGACATTCGCTATTTTATCTGACAACATTTTTTGAAATAGCTATATGAGAGTTTTTAATGAAGACATTTTGGACGCAACCAGGATTAATTTGTTTTGCTGTGATCTGAACGAGTATTAGCTCAAAATTCAGAAAATTCGAGSCGTAGCTTGGCACATACACATTGCTCCAGCGCGAAACTGATACTGCGATGTAGGTAAAGCAACAGGAACTACGTCAGTATAAACTTTAAAATTTCACGGAATCATAAGTCTCGAAATTAATCYTTTTATCGCAGCTGTTGTAGTTTTCCAATTTGGCAAACAAATATTCAATGTTCTAGTTGGCGACTGAATTATCGATAATTGCTACTATACAGGTGGGATAAGCAATTTTTTCGATAGAGTAAGTAGCCATACCGGTAATTCAATAAACGACTTGCTAATAGGCGTGTAAATGCCACACAGAGTGTGAAATCAGTGCTTTGAAAAGACACACTTAATCCTAAAAACGAATTTCGTGTAAATAGGGAATCTCAACCAGTGGTGAAATAGTAAGTAGAGTTACCAACTGAAGTTGAATTACACAAATTCATTTAAAAAGATAGGAAAAAAGGATTCTCTTAATATGACATTCACTACCTACCGCTAATATTTGACGTCGTACTGCCCATGATGCAGTATTCGTTTATAATTGCGTTCCAATTTTTCCTATTTTACGGTATGTAATTAATTTTTTCATTTTGATTTATCAAATGACTGATCCATTCTAATCAAATGAAGACGATTCTATTTAAATTATATACAACAATCTAAACCAATATATGTGGCAATTCAAGAAAATTGTCACGAATTCTTGTCACAATGACCTCTGTTGCCATAGCTTTAATGTGCGACTTACAAGCCACGTACAGCTTTCTACTCGGCTTTTTTAAAATACACTTTTCAAAGACGGCAAGCAACAAAATGGTAAGGTGAAAAGCTTTACTTAGCTTTAATATTAATAGCAATTCTATGTGGGGAACATAGCAAATTAGAGGCATCTTTTGGCTATTGTTTTGAGTGCTTATGATTGGACAAGATCTCGTTTTAATACAAAAGAAACTTTGTTTCAAAACAGAGTTTATCCACATTTTATTTTAAAAATCTGTTACCCATAGGTTGATATATAATCAGTGTGAAAACCAAGACATTTGTGTGTGGGGAAGTTGCAATTGCCGCAGAACAATAGAAGCTAGTTGCCTGCTTTTTGCGCGCATTGTTACTTAAAATCATAAAAGAGGATTCACATACTTAATCGCTTTTCGGCCGCCATCTTGGTCAGCGGTTTTTGAATTGACTTGCAAAATATCTTTTCAAATCTTGCCACAAATTATGATTTTTTAAAATATCAAAACAATGGATTTAAGAGGGGGGAGAGTTGTCAAATTCTGTATCTAATAATATATACACCTAATTGAAGAAACGTCGGGTCCAAAAAGGTCAAATTATAGAAGCTAAGACCGAAAGGGTACTTGGGAAGACAAACAATTTGGCTAATTTCATAACAAACAGCTCTCCAGCATAAAAGACTAGCATGCTGTTAATCTTACTAGCTCTACTTGCTTAGTGTACACCGTATATGCAAATGTAATCCCAATTTAGTGGTACTCAAAATCCCTTTCGGTCTTAGCTTCTATGATGTGACCTTTTCGAACACGACTACGTTTTTTCAATTAGGTGTAAATTAAAAAAAGCAAAAGAGAGTGAAATGGCAGGAATGGTAATGTGACTAATGTGACATAACAGAGTTCTCTATGTCTCTCTCACCAGGATTTTTAAACTCAGGATTTTAACCCTATTGCTTATTYAGATCATGATAGCAAGATGTTTGGACAAAAAGTATCGACGGACGATTTTCTTGGTCGTCTTGGCAGTTGTCGGCATTGCTCTCTTCGATATACTGTATTCTTACAACCAAGATATCTTGCCAATTCAAAAAAGGGTCACTCCAATTTTACCCTTGTGTCGTAATGTTCTACAAGTAATGCGCGAAGGTTCGTGGTTTAAAAAGCCTTATATAACAACAGATGACGTCAAACGACGGTACGATATGAACATCATTCTGCGAAAACATCGAGGGCAGCCAACTTATCTCAATCGGAGCGACTTTCGATGTGGGATCAACTATCTCATCCATGCGCCAGATTTCGGCCCTAAAATACCANCAATGGTTGGTGAGAGATTGACCAATCTAGTCGTCGTTGGAGATTCCTTGATGCGTCATTTTTTTGTTGCTTTAATGTTAATATTTACTGGTGATTCAAACACAGGCGCGTTACGAAAACATTTAGCCCACTGCATGGGGGAAAGGCAATTTGTTGATCGCGGGAAGGCAAATTGTCATACTTTCATCGCAATGAGCTCGGAAAAGAAAAAGGGAAAATTTTGTCAAGGAAAAGCGAAATTCAGTCTCGTCTTTAAAGAATACTACAACTTAGATCATGCAGAGAAAATTTTGTCTGTAGTTAAAAAACATCTTAATAGATCAAACTCGTTGATCGTATTGGGCATTGGTATCCACAATGGATTGAATGCTGAAGAACACCAATCTAAGCTTATTGATCCGATATTGAAGGTTATTGGATCACGAAAGTGGCCACGCTTACTCTGGACTACCACGCATGCGCAAGGATTTCTCAAGCCACCATCGTTTAGAAAGATGGGGCAAAACAATGACAAAATTTCCCAGTATAATCGAGTAATGCGTGATAAGCTGAAACAGAAAGGGGTAGAAGTTTTTGATGTTTTTCCGATGACTAAAGGTGTTCATAGTTACGATGGCACTCACTACGGTTATGGCATGAACATGATCAAAGCGCAATATCTTTTAAACTATATTCAACAAACTATCAAAGTTAAGTAGCTAATATTTGGTATGGTAGGGTCAGGAGAAGGGTGGGAAATGGTATGAACATGATCAAAGCACAATATGTTGAAAACTATATTTATCAAACTATCCAAGAAACGCCAACAATGCGGGCCAATTTTTGATCAAAATGCATTGGCTTGGATTTGGAGAGCCAGGTAGCACCGATCATGCAGAACGGGTCTCATGATAGGTTGAGAAAACAATGGACAAACAATAGATAAGTCTTCCAACAATATAACAAAACCTAACCTAACAATAGTGGTGCTGTACTTAAGGAGCAATCAAAAAGCAGGTTTCAATTGGTACTGCATTACTGGATTTGGATATCCAAACACACGGGTTTGGAACTAATTACCATCCGATGTTGGATCATAGTATCTAAGGTTATGCACGTGACCCTAAAATAAAAACCCAATTGGACTATGAAGTCATGAATTATAAATGAGTTTGAGAAGGGAGATTGCACGAGCGAAAGGGACTATGGTTACACTGTTTTGATAAGCAAAATTTCACTTATAATTGGATTCAACTTACATAGAAATAGAAAGTAAATAGAACCAATGTTTACCACAGACCATCTTACAGTGCGAATCAGTTGTTATTGACTTTCAACTAGCAACACGCATGTCTACTTTCGGTCGTGCAACTTGACATTCGTTATTTTATCTGACAACATTTTTTGAAATAGCTTATATGAGAGTTTTTAATGTAGACACTTTGGACGCAAACAGGATTTGAAAAAAATTGTTTTACTGTGAATCTGAAGTTTATGATATCATTATGCATGAGTCAATAGAAATTGGTATATAGTTAATATTCCAAACCGATTTCTCTTGTTTCATCATTTTTGTATGAATAGTCAGTGTCAAGAGACAATTAGGGGTTTACATTTCAATTCCTTTCTTGCTACCGGGGATGCCACCTGTTAAATTGTCACTGGTGACTGGAGCATTCACTATTATTCACTCGATATAAAAGTGATGAATGCCCCGCTAAGGCCAGGATGGGGGGTGCGGGGGTTTCAATTGACTCATGCATTAGTCTCAACGTTAGTACTTTTATCGCAGCTGTTGTTTTCCAATTTCGCAAACCCACACACAAATTCAACACAACGTAATTAAGCCTTTGTAAAATCTTAGGGGGTTTAATGCCATTCAATGTTCTAGTTGGCGACTGAATTATCGATTATTTCTACTATACAGGTGGGATAAGCAATTTTTTTCGATAGAGCAAGTAGCCATTCCAGGAATTCAATAAACGACTTGCTAATAATAATAGTTTAATACTGTTTTTACTTTATTAAAGCACATCTCAATCGGGCTAAGATCTGGCGAATAGGTGGGTAGATAGAGCAACTCAATCCCCCTGTCCGCTGAGAAATCTTAAAGGATTAATCCCCCATCAAAGTGATGTACGGCCAAATTATCCATGACAACGATATCGTCTATCTCAAGAACTGGGCGAAGAGTATTCATGTTTGTAGCATTGCTAGCTTCTTGAAAAAAAAATTAAGAATTCCACAGTGTTTGATGCTGCATCGATTAAGTTATAATATTCTGGAACATTCAATGAAACTAGCGTGTAGTTCAAAGTTGCGTTCGCACTTTGTGCTTTTCTAACTACTTGCACACATCTATCGCCAACGGGAGGATGGTAACTTAACACCCGCCTCGTCAAAAAATTTAATTCTTCTGGGGTCTTTTTGAGCTCAAGTAATCAAAAAACAACTGCGTGTACAGCATGTTATCGTATGTAAATCTGTCTGCTGCGGTCTGGGTTTTTTTTTTCTTGTGTATTTCTTCCCGGAGGGCAACTTTGATCTGATGGCGCGTGAAATCGATGGAAGGCTAATATCACCTCCAACGTCTCCGTATTCTTCCAAAAGTCTCGTAAATTTCTTTCAAAGAAATCGATCCTCTTCGTGTTTTGAGAGTTTCGATCAGTTCGAGATCACCACTTAGTTTGGAACTGAGATCACCTCCGCTCTTCAAACTTTCGGATACTATAAGACTCGCAAAATTTGTTCCATATACTTCTCAATTAACGGTGGTTGGAGATACTTTCAACTTGTGTGCGATTGCTTTACATGTAGAAGTAGTTCTGTCACCATCGGCGCTTATTATCTCATTATAATCATCATCATTTTTATATCCTCAGAAGAGAAATTCCAGATTTTTTATATATCCTCCCAAACTTGTTTACGTTGGTGTCCATCGTTCACAGTGTAAAAATGTTAATCGATAATTCGTTTATTTCGGCGCCAAAGAAGTAGTTTTCGCCACGTCTTCTAAAGTTTGATTGGCCAAAGAAAATGTTTTGAGTGACAAACTCGTGTTACGTAACAATTAGTTGAAACAATGTTTTCGCGTCACGCCTTACGCTAGCTCGCAAAAACTTACCAGCTATTAGTGGATTCTAAGTAGCTTTATCCATTCAAACTAGAAAGTAGCTTCTATTTTCGCCATCGAGTAAACGAGTAAACATCGTGGTCGCCATATTGAATCGGATCAAGTTCAAAGGCACGTTGCCCTAAATGTTTAAGAACTATAAAGTCTATATACAAAAGTCCACCTTTGAGTAAAATAGACGGACAAGATGTAGTTTTGATTTTTCCCGTTTATTCCGTATATATCTCCATTCAAAAATCTTGCAAAAATCGTTAACTCAAATTGTAAATACTTCGCTAAAATGGAAGCTCTTGGCGAGTTATCGTGTTCACTGGAGTATGGCGTACAATCTCGTAACCAGCGCCATTGTCCCTCTTGCTGCGCAAGCTCGACGAAAAACATGGCTCTGGAGTACACAAAAATTTCTCGCTCTCTGATTGGCTCATAAAATGAACTCGCTTGCCGCAAGAAGGGAAAATATCACCGAGAAAAACACTCAAATCATTCTGTATTTCCCTACTTTACCTTGAATTCTTCCTTTAAAAGCATTTTTTAAGTCTATAACGTGGGCATTTGAGAGTAATATGATCAATTAAGCATAAAATGGAATACATGCAGCGAGGCGACGAACTGTCACGCCATGATAATCGCTAATCGTCACTGCGATCTGATCATAATATTAATAGATATCAAAATAGCTTCGAAGAAGATGGATTTATCATCTAAGGTTTAAAAAATCCATTTTCTGACTTCGTAGGCTTTCATTTAGCCAATTTTCTTGAGTAAAATCAGTCAAATAAAGCGGTTAGATCGGGTTTCTACTGCGCATAGCCTGATTCTGGCTTTCGGTATTGGAATATTCCAGAGCAATCTTGTACACAGCGCCATTGTCCCTCTTGCTGCGCAAGTTCGACGAAAAACAATGGCTCTGGAGTACACAAACATTTGTCGCTCTCTGATTGGCTCATAAAATAGACACACTTGCCGCAAGAAGGGAAAATATCACCGAGAAAAACACTCAAATCATTCTGTATTTCCCTACCTTACCTTGAATTCTTACTTTAAAAGCATTTTTTATCATCTAAGGTCTAAAAAAATCCCTTTTCTGACTTCGAAGGCTTTCATTTAGCCAATATTCTTGAGTAAAATCAGTCAAATAAAGCGGTTAGATCGGGTTTCTACTGCGCATGGGTGAAATATCATGATTCTGTGTATTGAAATATTCCAGTGTATGTCGCAAGCGCAAAAGTAACGCTCTGGGGTACGATTGCTTTCTACTCGTCTTTTTTTAAATACACTTTTGGAAGACGGCGAACAGCAAAATGGTAAGATGAAAACTTTTAAGTTTAAAATCATAAAAGAGGAAAAAAACAATAATTATAAATACTTACAAAGACGAGGAACCGCGGCACATGATGAACAATCAAAATCCTTCATATCTTAACCGTTGATACGCTATTACATACTAAGAATCATGGTGGGGTTTGTTTTCGAAAATTTTATTTTAAACGCCGCGAGAAATTTAGAAAAACCTGACACTGACGAGAAATGGCTGAAATTGACAAAAACTTCGCGTGAGTTATGACTTCTCAAAAACGTCTTATTCTATGAATTCAAAGCAAAGAAAAACATCATTCGACTTCATAATCGTAAAAGACAGATAATAATGAACATCTGGATGTAAATTTTGACTTCGCAAGCTCGTTTTTTAAAACCATAAAAAAGCAGTCAAAATATGGACAAGTTTGCGAGTAAAAACTTTCTTAATTTACCAGACTTTTTGAATATCAATTTTTCCTGCCCGCCAATGTTGCGAATTTCTTGATATTCTGGATTTGAGTAGAGGAAAGGTTGTTCTTGAAAAAGATATAAAATTTGTCTGGGGCTTTTTATATTCTTGGAGATATAGCGATTTAAAAAACGACAAAATCACAACAAAACCTGACAACAAGTCCAGACAATTGTCGTTCTGTCTGAATTGAAGGTTTACGCGCTGCACGCCCGTGACGTCAGCACTTTTGACCCCTGGAGCGTTTTAGGACAAATGAGAAACTTCTCGTGACTCGCAGATCTCGACTTCAAACGTCGGAAAAGCGACTATTTTAACARAAAATCGACGATATTCCTGTCTCGAAGTTTGAGTAAGGCACAAAGAATTGTGTTAATTAAGAAATTAAGAATCCATCATAAAATACGATCGGTTTATGTCTCGCACTATTTGGCTCGATACACCAACCTTGATGACCAAAACCAATGTCATAATATATGCTCTCATACAGATGAATGTTTTTAAATAACAAAAGGTCTCGATTATGAAAGAATTACTATATTCACAGGTACTTTTAAGTGTTAAAACTGTTCTATGATACGATTGTTTACAGCTGAGTTCGTAATGTGATATTTCGTAGATAGATCGGAGGGCGATCGTGAGACCCGAAGGCAAACTTCTGACTTGGAAAAAATAAAAATAAAACTATACGCGTTGCATTTTATGCCAAGGGCCAGGTCACGAATAAAAATTTTATAACGCACAATTTAAGTATTGATTTGAATATAGAGGCTTAAATTTACGCGATAAGCGGGCAGACCTCATTGCAGAACTCAGCTCTATTTAGTATGTGAATGACTATACATCTAAATTAAATCCTTTAGTCCTCCTCTATGTTAGGGATTTACAGGTCTTTTACAGAATAGAGGCTTACAATGAACTTAATTTTATTCATTAAGCGTACAATATTAAACAAGTTGCATCGAATGAAAAGTTTAATTACGTTGATTATCTGTGGTTATCGAGTGGTTCTTGCTACCAAATGACGATGTTTTTTTTTAAATATCAAAAGCCACTCCTCTAGGTTAGGAGATTCAAAGATATCCGTTTGTGCAATAATTGAGGCATTTCCATGCTTATTCTCATACGAAAAACATCAAATTTTTTCACCTACTTTAATCGCTTTCCGGACGCCATCTTGGTCAGCGGTTTTTGAATTGAGTTGCTGTATGGCATATATTTTCAAATCTTCATGAAAGCCACATATTATGTTGATTTTTTAAGATATCAAAACAGTAGATTTAAGAGGGTGGACGAGTTGTAAAGTTCTGTATGTTCAAGAAATATAAAACGGCGCGCGTGTCTCTGTCCTCTGATATAAACACGGTGGGAGTTCGGAAAACACGAGAGAAGCAAGCTTAGGAACACGAGCGTAGCGAGTGTTTCTCTTGCTTCTCGAGTGTTTTTCAACTCCCACCGTGTTTATATAAGAAGACAGAGACACAAGCGGCCGTTTTATATTTCTTTTATAAAATTTTTCGAGAGAAAAGAAAATTTTGCCGGTAAGCCGTGTCTCTGTCCTCTGATATAATCACGGTCGTCAGCCAATCAGAGCGCGCGTTATATATCAAAAATTTCATAAAATGATATATAAATCACGAATAGCAAAAAAAAAAAAAAATGAATTGAATATCTAACTGATGTATGTTACATAACTCGGCTCGAGTCGATTTTGGAAACTCAGGATTTTAACCCTATTGCTCATCTAGGTCATGATAGAAGGATGTTTGGCCAAAAAGTATCGACGGACAAATTTCTTGGTCGTCTTGGCAGTTGTCGGCATTGCTCTCTTCGATATACTGTATTCTTACAACCAAGATATCTTGCCAATTCAAAAAAGTGTCACTCCAATTTTACCCTTGTGCCATAATGTTCTACAAGTAATGCTCGAAGGTTCGTGGATTAAAAAGTCTTATATAACAACAGATGACTTCAAACGACGGTACGAAATGAACATCATTCTGCGAAAACATCGAGGGCAGCCAGCTTATCTCAATCGGAGCGACTTTCGATGTGGGATCAATTATACCATCCATGCTCCAGATTTCGGCCCTGAAATACCAGCACTGTGCATGCGCAATAGTGACAGACATTGCTGTAACGCTGATGGACTGTGCAGTAATGGACAAGGCAACTGCTCATGCGCAGAATGCACGGATTTTCGAAATATTGTGGAGGCCGAGTTGTATGATTGGCTGCCATTACGCTGCAAAATCATGAACTATAGTAGCGATG